CAAAATGACCTGTAATGTCCAAATACCCAAAATACCCTTGACTTGACAAAGCCATAACTTGAGTTCTATAAATCCAATCATGGACTTCTAGTACTCTATGGAAAGCTAAGAGGATAAGGAACAAAATTTATATTGACCAAAAGTTCATAGGAATCATCCTTCTAGGGCAAAAGTGTCATGCAAGTTGGGTAACTTTCAAGCTCCAAATTCACATACCTCAGATGACTTGTAACTTGTCTGCCTCATAACTTGAGTTCTATAAACCCTATCAAGGACTTCTAGTACTCAAATTAAATCTAATACCATGCCTTACAACAATCATGTTAGGGTCAAGATGAGATGAGAATCCCATCTTGAGTTAAATGGCCTTGAAGTCAGGGGTCAAGCTAGGGGATTTTACACTGTCAAGCCTTAGAAACCCTAGCCTGAAACTTCTCAAACTCTTCAATCATGATGAGTTGACCTTGGAATCATCCTTAGAATATCTCAATGTATTCATCCATGGTCACATGGCTCTTGAATTAGGTCTCAACCTTCTTCAAATCATTAGTTAACTTAGGGTTGACCCAGTCAAACCCTAGCTGCACCACTCATGGCTAAGGCTTCTTAATCTTGCATAAGGACTTGTCTGAGGTCCCTAATGAACTTCAACATTTCTCATGAGCTCTCTCAAGACCTCAAGTCCAACTTCATGGCTTCAGAACCATCTGATGGCTTTCCACAATTCTCAAGTTAGGAGACACACACTCTTGGTTTCAACCACTCTCTCTGAGGCTCTTTTAACTTCTCTGACAAGGATATCAACCCTTGAACACTTGAATAACCTTCTTAGATAGCTTCCCGGTCTTGTGTAGCCCTTGATTGGTAATCATACCTCTTGATCTCCTGCATACATGTCAATGAAATGCAAATGATAATGCTAATGTGAATGAAATGAAACATAAGCTAGGTAAAGAAAAGTTGGGCAAATTTTGGGGTGCAACAAAAGGATCCTCCACCTTGGGATGATTCGATGACCAAAAGTGTCACTCAATTAAAGCAGATAGTTAAGATATTACCTTTCCTAGGAATCCCTGATCCAAATTCTAACCATAGTGTTAAAACAGATGCCTCAAACCTAGGGTTTGATGGTATATTAAAATAATTACTTCCGAGCGCATATAAGGAACACGTTGTTAGTTATTACTCTGGAATTTGGTCTCTAACCTAATTAAATTATAGTACTATTAAGAAAGAGATTTAGCCATTGTTTTACGCATTGCTAAATTTCAAGACAATTTGTTTTCAAAATCATTTTTATTAAAAATAGATTGCAAATCTGCTAAGAGTGGTTTAAAGAAAGACGTTAAAAATTTGGTTTCAAAATATATATTTGCTAGATGTCAAATTTTATTATCATGTTTTGATTTTGAAATAACACATATTGAAGGAATTAAAAATTCTTTACCAGGTTTTTTAACTCGAGAACTTTTACAGGGTAAAAATGAGTAAGAAATAAAGTGATCCTAAAGATAATGATGTACCTCCATTATCATCAAATAATAAAGCCATCATTTTAGGATCTCCTTCATATATTACAAAAATTATTTCTCCAATACCTTCTTCCCTCATACCTATGATTATGTCTGCATTATTATCTCCATTATCTTTTACTCAGAAAATTACTACTTAACCGTCTTCTCAAAATAAACCCATCTTAAAATTAGCTTTTTACACTCCTCCGTCTTCTACAAAATCTTCTTTTTATTACCAAAGATATGTCAAAACCGATTATCCCTTTGGAGCCTATGTACCGTTTTTCAGATGCATCATTATTACAAGTTATATCGAGAATTTTTCCTCCTGGATTTTTCTTTTTACCAAAAGACTTATTAAAAATCTGAGAATATTATGAATTTAGTTTGGTTGATACTTATTATATTTCTCTTACTCATCAATATGATGAGAACGATAAATAAAAAGTTAAGTTCTCCAAATTTAAAATTATTAAAGTTTTATCTCCATCAGATTAGAAGCAACTCCCTATAGAAGGAAAATCCTTCTCAAGGTCTTACTGTCCTCAAAACATATAATTATTTGGATTACATGGACGTCTGGTCCAATTTCTTAGCAATTGAACCATTTAACCACGCTTGGTTTAATAAAGATGTTTGATTAAACTTTCCCTATTGATTTATCTAATGGTTTTAGCTTATTGGACCCAATTTATATATTTTACGCGATTATGCTTCTAAAGCCTTCAATGACTTTACCTCAGCTACTATTTGTCCTTCACATAAGGCTTTATTATCTTTTTGTGTAGTTTTTGGGATTACTTGGATTACCTCCTGGACCTTTTCGTCTGAGCAATAATGCAAGATTATCCATCTTTTTAATTAATTAAATTTTTTCTATTAAGTGGTGGATTAAGTTTAATCCAGATCTGCTAACGACAACAAAGATGGAAGCCTGATGTAAAGCCCATCCAAACCTTTGCAAAAATACCAATATTAGCTCAGAAGATACTGCATTTCTTATGGATTGATATAAGTTTCTAGCCATTTTATCAACTGCTACCAGCCATAATAAATTTTTAAATAAATTAAAAGGTGTTATGTCTGATTTGTCAGAAAGTGATAGTGTTTCCAGCATATTTGACCACTTGAATGACAATGAAGATAACTGTTATAGAATCACAGATCTTGAAGGATAATGATTATGTTTGAAGATAAGATCAAATTACTTATCTGAAGATAAAATTGGTCTTTCTCAGCTCATGCTGGCATGTTACTTTTTTTTTTGGCTTGTTGTATTAATTAAAGGCCATGTGGGACACATTATCTTTGATTATGTATTTCATTATTAGGCCTTGTCGACCACTTACTTGTATAGTTTTAGGGTGATTTGAATTTTATTTGAAGTCCGTCTGCTTTTCTTCTCAATATAAGATAATGTAATTTGTTGTAAAGTGCATTCAAAAATTGAGACTCAATCTAGAAACCTTGAGCTTGCCATCAACTTGTATTTTTAGTTAAAAAAAACATAAGAAAACTAATGAAGAAATTATTGTTTCAACCAATGAAGATCCATACATTAATAAAATAGAAAAGATGATATCTCACAAATGATATAGTAAAATAAATTTCATTATTAAAGATAAATTTTTTGAACTAGTTGCTTTAATAGACTCAGAGGCAGATTTAAATTGCACTCAAGAAGAATTAATCCCACCCAAATATTACGAGAAAACCAAAGAATCCTTTATCTTTTACTCAAAAAGTTACTACTTACTCCTTTTCTCAAAATAAACCCACCTCAAAATTAGTTTTTTACACTCATCCATCTTTTACAAAATCTTCTTTTATTAGCAAAAAGCCTGTCAGAGCTGATTATCCCTTTTGGAGCCTATGTAAAGTCTTTCAGATGCGTCATTATTACAAGTTATTTCAAGAATTTTTCTTTCTAGATTTTTCTTTTTACCAAAAGACTTATTAAAAACTCAAGAATATTATGATTTTAATTTTGTTGATATTGATTGTATTTCTCTTTCTCATCAATATGATGAGAACGATAAATAAAAAATTAAGTTCTTTAAATTCAAAATTCTTAAAGTTTTATCTCCATCAGATTAGAAGTAACGTTTATTATGTCTAATTGTTGGGCAATAGTGTGAAGTATTAGGTTTGAGTTGACTATACAAATTATTTATGTCTTTTCTCTGTTTTATAGGACTGATAATTGATTTAAAGGGATAAACCTCTGTTTTTATGTTTTCTTTGGAAGGGGTAATTTTTATGGCTTCTAAAGGTGGGTGGATGTATTATATTATATATTTTTTGCAAAACAATTTTCTATCCCTTCTTTTAAGCAAAGTAGTTCAAACCATGTAAAAAAATAAATATTAATCTCATGATTATCTAAAAATTTGTAAAACTTTTATAAATACATTTGAGTATGATTTTTACAGAGACGAGAAATACCAATTTCACTTCTTTGAATTATACTTAGCCTTAAAATCAGATATAATTCAAGCTTTTTCAATGACAAATGATTATTCTTTGATAATAACTCCTAAGATTTGAGACTCAGTTGGAGATGGTGACCTAGAAGTCCTCTTCGAGTAAATTGGTCAGAGAATTGTAGGAGCAAAGTTTACTCCCACAAGGTTATTCCTAATGGTTGAATCAACAAAACGTCTAGCGCTGAATGTCGATCCAATGCTACTAGATTAATTGTAACAAAATGATTGACTCCTATTCATTCGAATTTTGACTGATCCATCAATATCCTGAATAACATCTCTAATATATATATATATATATATATATATATATATATATATATATATATATATATATATATATATATATATATATATATATATATATATATATATATATATATATATATATATATATATATATATATATATATATATATATATATATATATATATATATATATATATATATATATATATATATATATATATATATATATATATAATTTGACTTTTTTCACCGATCATTCGAAATTTTTCGCTTTGTAATTTGTTTCAAACTTTTTTCTTGTTTAATAATGTTTATGATAATTGCTTTTGATCTTTTTATCATCATATTTATTCAGCACATAGTTCTCTTTTAAAATGCATTTTTTAGTATCAAACGTTTTTACTTATTATTTCAAAAATTTGGTGCGATCACAGTAAAAAAAATCAACATTTTTGCCATAAATTTTTTTAATATTTTTATTCAAGATAATTTATGAGGATATAATTTGAAAATAAATGATACTTAGAGTGTGGAAGCAACTAACATTGGTGTAGTTAGTAGATTCCTCAGAAAGCCCATAAAGGGAGTTATTGGGTTGGGCGTAAAGCAGATAAAGCCCATATGGACTAAGCCCATTACAGGCCCAAGTCTCACTCCAAGAGAGCAATATAAACTTCACTATAATCAAAACCCTAAGCTTTCTGATCTCCGAGAAACTCCGACGCGGCGGTTGCTGAAGAAAGTTGCAATATGAAGGTTCTCTTCTGCCGAAACCCTAGTTCGCTGTGCTTTTGATTTTGAAGTTCTTTTTCTTTGTTGTGATTTCTCATTTTGTTTCGCGTTTTGCATCTGATTTATTATTTTGCCAGTTTGTTACTGAAGTTTTGTTTACGTTTTTCAGTTCAACGTTGCAAATCCCACCACTGGATGCCAGAAGAAGCTTGAGATCGATGATGATCAGAAACTGTAATCTCTCCATATATTAAACTTGCACTTGTTCATTTTCACTGAATTTTAGTCTAAGTTTCTTACAAATTAATAATTTTAATATTTGCTTCCTGACAAGAATTTAAATTTGTATCCTAACATCATAACCAATCAGTATATGAGTTAATGATTTGCCTGTTGTGAAGAAAGTAAAATGAGGGAGCTTAGACCAATTAGAATGATAGGATACCCTGAATTGAGTGTTGAATCTTACTAACACTCTGTAGCAAATTTGTTTTTCAATGATTTAATATATCGTTGATCATTTAAACATATCTTAAAACAGATACTTTAATCTGTTTTTTGGTACTCACTAATAGACAACCCAGTAGATATAGTGCGCAAGCACAGAATATACATTAAAATGAAAATATGTTGCGAAATATTTGAACAACCTAAGAAGAATAGTGGCCTTACAGCACAAAAATCAATTTAATGATGGTCACAAGATATAAAGACACTTAATTTTTAGCAATTACTGTAGGATCTTCAAAAAATTTGTGCCGTGTACCTTGAATTTGTAAACTTTTGTAAAGCATCTGTCACAATCATGAATGAAACTTGATCGGCTCCAAAGATGTTGAAGTGAAAATTTGGTCTGTGTTCCCATCTTAATATCCCTGGATTTTATTTTCAGGCGTGCGTTTTGGGACAAGAGGATTTCACAAGAGGTCAATGGAGATGCCCTCGGTGAGGTATGCTCATTAACTGAAAACCAGATGTCTGCTGTGAATTTTTCAGAATATATGATTGATATTCACAATTATATTGTTGGTGCTTACAGGAATTTAAAGGTTATGTCTTTAAAATTACTGGAGGTTGTGACAAACAAGGATTTCCAATGAAGCAGGGAGTGCTGACCCCTGGCCGTGTTCGTCTTTTGCTTCACAGGGGTAGGTCTTTTATGTAGCTTTTCTATGTAATCTGTATGTTTAATTGTATCATTTTTCTTTTTTATTTGGCCACATATCTCTAGGTGGATTAGGAACGCACATGTACCCTGAAATTTTTAAAGCTACAATTTGTATCTTGATAGTTTTTGATGAATTATTATTATATCTTTTGAGTCAGTTTCAAATGTACACACGGCCTAGTTTTACTATAAAATCTTAGTGTTATTCATATTTTGTCTTGTATCAGGAGTGCTCACTTGTCAAAAGAAGTTAATTTTTTTCAATGTTTACATGAGCAGGAACTCCTTGCTTTCGTGGACACGGAAGGCGTAATGGTGAGCGCAGAAGGAAATCTGTTCGTGGATGCATTGTCAGCCCAGACCTCTCTGTTCTGAACTTGGTAATTGTGAAGAAGGGTGAAAATGATTTACCTGGTCTGACAGATGTTGAGAAGCCAAGGATGCGAGGTCCGAAGAGAGCATCCAAAATCCGTAAGCTTTTCAACTTGTCTAAGGAGGATGATGTGAGGAAGTATGTCAACACCTACCGTAGAACATTTACAACAAAAGCTGGTAAATTCTTGGATCCTTGTAATTTTTCTGTTAGTAAGATTTATTCAGTATAATGAAAGCCAAAAGTAGTATTTTTTCATGCTATATTTGGGATGTGATACAGAAGGACCTTTGGATCCATGGTTCATTTTAGGCATACTCTGGTCATGGTAAATTGGGCTATTGGAATAGATTGGACTTTATATAACTGAACAGTACTGATTATCTGGTTTTAGGGAAGAAGCAGAGCAAAGCTCCCAAGATTCAACGTCTGGTTACTCCTCTCACACTCCAAAGAAAGCGAGCAAGAATTGCCGATAAGAAGAAGAGAATCGCCAAGGCAAAATCAGAGGCGGCTGATTACCAAAAGCTTCTTGCTTCAAGGTTGAAGGAGCAGAGGGAGCGCCGCAGTGAGAGTTTAGCCAAAAAGAGATCCCGGATTTCTACTGCTACCAAGCCAACTGTCACTGCATAGGCTCCTGTCAGAAACAAATATTTGGTGAAGTTTAATCATCACCGTAGTTTTTGCTACTGTTAATTTATGATGATTTTGTCATGACAAAATCATCATGTTTTTTTGTTACTTTCCATAATTTATGTTGAATTAATTTTGACTTGTTGAGATATGTATCAATTTTATTTTTCCCCCACCTTTTATAATCCATTTTTATGCATTACGGATACTAGTTATGAATATGACTTGTGATCCAACTCAAGATTTTTGAAACTAGCTTTGCAATGTTCTTAGAATGGAATTTTGAGCAGGACGCGTACTGGAATTTTTGAAACTAGCTTTGCAATGTTCTTGAACTTTGATTTTGAACATTGTGTTTACTATTCGTGTTTTGGTTTTTAAATAAAATTCTGTATCAAGTTGTTGGTTTTGTTTATGAAGCACAGCCAATGCATTGTTTTTGATTCAGCTAATTTATGAATGTCTATATCCCTGCTGTAACACTTTAAATACCCATTTAGGATGTCACATGTCAACAAATACCGCTCATGCAATCAAATACTGCACATGCAAGCAATAAAATATGTAACACACATTATTAAAAAATTATTCATAAAGATAATAATAACAACTTGAAAAATATCCATAAAATCTCTAATTAACTTAAACAACAATAAGCATTCTCTTTCCTCAATCTTACACTCAATCTTACACATTAGAGCAGACGTCCACTTATTAAATAAAAGGAAGAACACCATCTTCTATACACATCTATGTCTCTACTACGGATTATCACGTCTTATTAAATAAAAGGAAGAACACCATCTTCAACATACATCCATGTTTCTACTGTGGATTATCTGCACGATCCACATAGAGGCAACATTCAAACAAAAGAGGGTGAGATATCTCAATTATATAACAAATACATAATAATAAGTAAACATCAGATTATTGGGAGATATCCATAAAATCTCTAATAAACATAAACAACAATAAATATTCCCTCTCCCCAGTGTTACACATTAGAGCAGACGCCGACTCTATAAAATAAAAGAAAGAATATCATCTTCCACACACATCCACGTTTCTATTGCAGATTATCTGCACGATGTCCACACAGAGACAACATTCAAACAGAAAGGGTGAGATATCACAATTATATAACGCAATGCATGATATTAAGTAAACATCAAATTATTACATGCATTATCACTCATTCCATAAATTACACTTCCACAAATCCAAACACAACAACAAAATATTATGCAATGCAATGAGACTCAACAACTCGACTCAATTCATGTAGTACCTCATTGTGAACTCTCAGGTTCACTCGCTCTGATCCCTACATAAGATTAGAGCACACCAAAATTATTACCATCACCATAGGTAACACTTCACTAATCTCATCACCATAGGAATTAGTTACTCGCACCTAATCCATCATCATAGGATTGATGCTCACAAAAACGGACCCCGTCCCACACCATGGATGTATGCAACATACAACATGCAATAGCAACACCATAGACAATGACCTTAGTTAATGTACTGCACCAATACTGACCACCATGCACCAAAGACATGCTATAATATTCAGCAACAACAACACAACAATATAGCAAGCAACAACAATGCATTTACAAATATGTCACACCACAACACAAACACTACATAGCATTTAACCCCATCACACAATAATTTATTCATTTTCAAGGACTGAAACCAATTTTAGGGTAAAGTTCATCGGATTAGCTTCCTAATGCTACAAACGACACTCAAATCGGACACCCAGAACTCAAAATATGATTTTTAAAATTTTTTCAAAATTTGCTCACAGTGTAACCGGTTACACTATATGAGGTAATCGGTTACACCCCTGTAACCATCCCGTGCTACGCAATTTCCACTAAGCGTAATCGGTTACACCCTCACTATTTTGCCTAAAAACGCATTTTCAAAACAATGTAACTGGTTATACCATTCCTGGTAACTAATTACACTATGAGCAGAAGCACTTTTCTACTACTTTTCCAAACAAAAATCACTTTTTATCTTATCTCAAAACTCCACCTTTCATACAATTCGTTTATCACACATTATTTTACACGAAAATCACTTTTCAAAACATCAAAACCCCCAACTCTTTTCATAAAAAGATCATAATCTCAAGTTCCGACTCTGACTCGCAACCACCATTAACAACACAACAAATATCATCATGCAATTCCATAAATACATGATTCTATCAGCATCAACACACGATTCACCAACAATCATCCATTACAACATCAACATACAATTCATAGTTCATCAATCACATTTATTCATTCCAACAAACACACAATTTCGTCAATGGTCACAATATAGAGAGAAGAGAACAACAAATCATGCATAGATATTACCTATCCACCATCATCATACAAACCCATATATAATAGGAACCCCACCCTTACCTTAGAGTTTTTGCAAGGTTCTTCAATAATAGATTCCTTCTCTTTCTCCTTGAGCCCTAACCTCCACTCTTCTCCTTTTTTATTTTTTTTATTTTTTTATTTTTATTTTTCTCTATTTTTTCACAATCTGACAGTTTTTCCCTCAAAACCCCTTTTCTCTTATTATTATTATTATTATTATTATTATTATTATTATTATTATTATTATTATTATTATTATTATTATTATTATTATTATTAATTTCAACTAATTAAATAATGATAATAAATTTCACTAAATATGTATTTAATCACACAATAATAATAATAATAATAATAATAATAATAATAATAATAATGCTTAAAATAATTATTTAATTATTATTACTACTATTTTATCTCTCTTGCTCACATATAAGGGTGGAAAAATGGGTCGTGGCCCGCCAAGGAGGACTACGCACCCGCCAAAAAATGGCGGGTTGGATTGGGATTTTGGGCCCTCCGCCTACTAAAGCCTACCCCGCTAAAGACCGCCTCTCGTCAAAGTTCACCCCTCAAAAAGCCCGCCGCATTTATTTGTTCAGCTTGTCCCACCTTAAACACACCTTTTTTAGTTAATTTTAGTCATTCTAATTCTTGATATTTTTATTTTATACATTTGTTAGAGAATATATGCAATATTTTTTGAAGTAAAATTTGTTAAAAAGATACTTTATAAAAATCGTTCTAAAAAATAAGTGAAAAATCTAATTTAAATGTAAAAACAAGTCTATTAGTCTATTAAAAAAATAAAAAATAAAAAAATAAAAAAGTAGGCGGGAAAGACCGCCGCCCACCAACCTGCCACCTTGGCGGGGAGATCTAAATTTTTATGCCCATTTCAGCCCGCTCCGCCTTTTTTATGGCGGGCTTAAGGCGGGTTGTATACTGTAACACCCCAAATTTAATCGGAATATGTTAATTAATTATTTAATTAAGAATATTCATGTTTCGGTGAATTTCCTGTGGTTTTGTGAATATTGGAAAGATATGCATTTTCGGATATTTATTTGATTAATAGCATATAATATTAATTTATTAGTATTATTATTAATTAAATGGAGTATAAGTGAAATAAGGGCAATTTGGGCATCTGAGGGAGTTAGTAAGGATAATGAAGGAAAAGCCCAATTTGTGAGGCCCAAGACTAAGTTGGAAAAATTGAGTTCTGAAAGGAATTTGAATTCATTTGTGTTAACCGTGAAAGTTTGGTGGCCAGAGCTCTGAAGGAAAGGTTGGAGGCAGAAGATCTCGAAGTTAATCGTGAAAGCTGCGAATCGACTAAGGTATGGGGAGTATCGCTGTTCATGATTTTCTATGTATGCCTTTCGATGTGTCTATGGTTGGTTTATGATTTAAGGTATTTTGGGTTGGTTGTGGGAAAATAGGGAATTTGATGATAAGACTTTGAGGTTAGGGGTAATGGTATGTAACACTGAATATTGATATGAGAAAGGGAAACCTTAGCCTTTGTGGCCAAAAACCTTGGATCGTTATATGTTTGACCCTGTAGGAATAGGAATGTTCAAATGTGAGTAGCTCTGATGCACTCAGAGCAATTGCAGGAAAACAGTGGTTTAGGCAGTGCAAATGTTGCCAGATTGGCCTAATAAACCATAGATTTTGTGTCGTTATCGCCGTATGACCTTAGAGATGTTTTAAGGATGTTTTGGGGGGCATTGGGTAAGTGAATCGTAAGAGTATTTGGACAAGAATCAGTTCTGGTCGTAACAGGTTTTGCTGTCATCGCTCTGCTCGCCTAGCGAGCAAGCCAGCGAAGGTTCGCCACAGACTCGCCTAGCGAGCAAGCCAGCGAAGATTTGCTATAGACTCGCCTAGCGAGCAAGCCAGCAAACGTAGCAGAGTTTGTGACACCCCCTTCTATACCCCCAAATAAACAATAAATCATTTAAGCACATATTAAAATTTCATCAGAGTATAATTAAAACATGGTATAAAAGAGGTATGTAACATCACACACAAAATTGAAACATACAACACTTGCTCTATAAAAGACATGCAACAGTGGGGTAGCTTCAACAGAGGAACTTAGTCCTTGCACCCACATCTCAATATTTAGAATTAAAAGCGGAAAATCTAAACATTGAATCATTTTAAACATGTAATCATATAAATACATATCATCTAGTTTGATTCACCACATCATTCATGTTTACATAAACATTTGTCAGCAGATACATATACAAATGTAGCACAAAAGAATGCTATACAATCCTAACTACCCGGTGCTACATATCAGAGCTTAACCGACCAAAAGAATGAAGCTATACTTCACAAAAGACCTCTAGCAAACCTAATCTGCAATGCTTCATAGATCATTATAAAACAGCAGAAGGGTGATAAATATTATCCTAATAATCAATGCATATAATTATATATATACAAGCATAAAATACACACATTCCACATTTCTCACCACAATTCATTATCATCATCATATACATCACAATATATGTATAAACAAATATGGATAATCACCAAACATGTTTCATAATGCACACATCCATAATTCTCATCAATCCA